AATGGAAAACAGTCTGGAAGGTCATTAGTAACAATGACATTCCTTCCAAGTGGCGCTCTGTAGTATACAAAGCGATAAATGACATATACGCATTAAGATCAAAAACGCACCGCCACGGTATTACCGATTCTAACATATGTAGCGAATGCAATGTTTTTGACGACATGTCACACCGTATTAAAGACTGCATTTTGTCTAAAAACATTTGGGATTGGTGTAAACAGCGTATTTTAAACAAGTTTTTGCAATGTAATCAAAATGGAGACCCTAAAGATATTTTTCAAATTGAATATTCTAATAGTTCAGTTACAAATGTTTGGATATGGTTTTATAGCGCTCTATTATATAATAACTTAGAAGGCTTTAAAGATTTAACAGAATTTATTAATATGTTAAGAAGAGACAGAATGTTAAAAATTTCATTAGGCACAATAAGAAAATTCTCAAAAAAAATTTTCGCCTTTTAAGGCGTTTTATTCTGTGATATTCTTTTAAAAGATGTGAGTTAATTTTAGTGTACAATACTGTAAAGTTTTTTGTATAATAAAGTGTTAAAAAAAAAAAAAAATGACATTATTATACTCTTCACACAGCAATCTGTGAAGAGTATTATAGGTTAATTTTTAAGAAAGGAACATTTTTGATATTTATTCAAATTTAAAAATGTTTGTACCAAAATCCTTCTCATCAAATTTTAAACAACTTGTAAAATGTAAAATGTAAAATTTAAAATGATGTAAGCGTTTAACAAATAATAGACGGGCGAGAAAGAATTTTCTTAGAAGCCGCAACCTTTCAAATAAAACTGTCTACAACATATCCACACTTTAAATGAAAGCAGCATAACAAGATATAAAAAATAGGCGTTGTGCAAACACAGCACATAAGTTTTATTTTTCAAACTTGAAGGTCGCTGCAGCATTGTTCTTCACCTATGGTGACCGGACATTTTGTTATTGGGTTTTGATGTAACTAATATTATGTGTAAGCTTTAAGCTTGCGCTTTTGTAATATTTAAGACAACGTCATCAAGCGCTTCACCGCTGGTGTATCTGTAGAATAGTATGTTCGTCTTCTAAAAAGCAAAAATAATTTATTTTGCATTGCGCAAATATATACTATAAAATATGTCACGTGCTGCCCAACAATATGTGTCGTTGAGGAGTAGTTTTTAGACCAAAACAAATAAATTTTTTTAGATTATTTGAAATTACTTTATGAAAACTTGTGATTAATATTTGAGCCTTAAAATAATTAAAATTTCGTTTTAAAATATTGTGGCGTTATATATTCAATACTATCTCGTATATCTAATTTATATTTTGCAGTTGTTAAGCCATGAGTTTTCGTCTTAAAAATTTGCAATCCAAAACAACAAGTTAGAAATTATTTAAACCGTGTTAGATTAGAATACCCTTTGCGTACTGTCCACCTACTGACTAACGCGATGTTTCCCATTTGCACGTCATGACAGAGAGCCCTCGAAGAGCTCCACAAAGGTTTACTGCGCTTTCGGGCTTACAATCGACTCGTATTAATTCCTTTATTGGCCCTTTGCCGTTGCAATAACATTAGTATTGATGCTTTGAGGCATCTTGAATCCGAAATTACATAACCTAAATCATCGAATTGCGTTAAATCTAACTTCATTGCAATACAATTGGATTATACGACGTTACAAAGACACTGCCAATTCAACAACATCTGCATTACAAATTTTGGATACTGTTTTACTGAATGTTCGTTACATAGAATCGAATCGATATTTACCCATTCTGATATCTCAGAAACATGTATGAAAACTGATTGCGCTTGTACATATTTGAAGACGTACATAATTAATTCTATTGCCAATATCGGTTTTGATTTTACTTCTACAGTATTCAAAATTATAGAAAGTTGTATGTGAAACGAATCATTTTATTTTTAATTTTTTTAGTTTCCTTACAATTTATGTTCATTTATTTACAGGCAAGTCCATTTGAGAAATAAATTCAATTTTAAATCATAATTAAAATATATGATGCTAAAATACAAACGTGGTATAATTCATTACAAAGAATTTAAAATATGTAAAAATGCAATAGACAATAATGTTTACATTAAATATTAAAAATTAAAGATCAAAGATTAAAGCTCAGTACTAAGAAATTGCTTTATAAATATATGAAAGGGGGTGTTAAATATTTCAAGATCGTTGAGTGTTGCCTAATCTTAACATTCTTGGAATACAGCTGCTAAAATTTTGTTTTAAACGATAAGAAGGTACATAAAATGTTTGTTGCTGTCGAGTTGGAACATAAAAATTTATTTTTGTTAGAAGTTCAGTACAGCTGCATCGGCTATTGATAATTTTAAAAAGAATTGTCCCTGTTTCCTCTTAGTTTCCAAAAAGGGGATGTTTAGAAAGTTCTCTAATAAACCATACTCGCAGAGGACACCTAATTTTTAAGCTATGTATCTAAGAAATGTATGTTGCACATTTTCTATGTTTCTGCTGTGCGTTATGTCTAATATTCCTGAACCTCCACAGACAGGCCTTCTTACTGTTTCCCAGTACCACTTTAGAAACTATTGTTATTTAAATCCCGTCACTGAATTGTCGGAGTAAAGAATGTTACCTAATGCATCAGAATAATTATTTTTAAATGAGAAATAAATTAAATGAAAAATTCCAGCCAACGATGGGAGTCGAACCGCGGACCCTTGGATTCGCAAATCCAGATTATCTAACCACTAAGCCACCCACCTTTCTTTATTAAATTTAATTTATTTAATTTTTAATAATTTTCAATAACCCACAAAGGGCAACAAATATAAGAGAAAATGAAGTCGAAATTTACGGCTCCATGACAAAATAGCCCAGGAGAAAATAGAACGGACAAAATATTATAGTCTTGTAAACTAAAAATTATAGAGCTACTTTGCTAGTTGGGTAAGGGCTCTACATTCACATTATAAGAGCTTTAGAACAAACATAATATGTATGTATAAATTCTGACCAAACACTACTACAGCCTATTGATTACACCTTATTGGGCTATAAAAAAGACGATGTTAAATTGTACCCACGGGAACTGATAAAGCGACCATTCCCAGAATTATTGATTCATCCCTGCAAATGTACATAAACTTATCAAACAAAGGCTTCTTCTTGCAAAAATTTACAATCTAATTGTTATTTATTGTATAATTGTATTATTAATGATTGTCAAAATAAAAAATGGTAATTTTGTATATATGTATATAACTTATTCATATTTTGCAAAAAATTATTTTGATTTTGTTATTACTCTTAAGAATGTTACACGCTTTATTTACACTTTTGTAATAATATTGTTCCAATACCATATTTTATTTTTTAATGCCTTTAAAGTTACTTTGTAATCACTTTTTGTGGAATGTGTTATAATAAAATTTAAAAGTAAGGTACATGGTTTAATTATATGAAATACAAAGTAGCAAAAGCAATTAATAATTTTGAAAAATAAATTTTTTATTTCGGAGTCTGTGAGACTCCGTCTCAGTATCTGTGTCCTAAAATTAGGTGTCCGTAGTTAAGAGTTAATTAAATAGTTAATTGCTCAAAAATTTATTTTTTATAACATAACCCCATCCACTTACCCCTTCAATTCATTTATATGCTTTATTAACTTTTTAAATGCAATATAAGTTTTAAAATGATTTAGTAATATCCCGTAAGTGAATTTTTACCACTCTGTTCCTAACATTTTCTCGTATGTTGTAGCCTTTAACCTTTATAAAAATATTGCTGATTGATAGAAATATACAAGCCGCTGAAAGGTTTCCAAATACTTACGATTCGAATAAAAGAACGAACAAATTTTATAGCATGTCTTCGAGCAATAAAAAGAAACAAACTACCTAATAAAACTGGTAGGTGTACGACTAAACCGATACACGATCGAACGGAATCTAATTTTGCGAAAAGCAGCATTTTTATAATTCGATTGGATAAATCTCATCAAAGCCGGTACCACACCGGATCTTGTCGAACGTTCCCCAAACCGTATTTTACAACTAAAGTAAAAGCTCGAGATAGGCCGTTCGACGAAAAGTTATTTTATTTAGCAGGGTATAAGGTCGGCGAACGCCGTTAGATACTGCGAGGCTCCGATAAATTCTCAGCCTTAGACATCTTCTTCGCTCATCAACATAAACCCAATATAAAACCAATATCACTGGAACCTAACTATAAATTTTGTCGTCCCGAAATTCGCTAAATTGAAATTTATTTTGTTCAGCAGACGGTTAACACATCGATCTATTTAAGGGAGGGTTAACGATCTCCGCGCTAAATTGCCTCCTAATTTTTGGATAATGTCTTAAGCACGAGCGTTTCGGATCGCTGAACCTCCATCAATTTTCAATTTTTGGAATTAGTCTCCCGGCGGCCGACTTCGACTATCTAATTCTAATTAAAAAAGTTGTCTCGTGTCTAGGAGAAAAAAGCCGTCTTTAATAGGACATTAAATTATAATTAAATTTTAAATTAAAACCAATTATAATGGTAAACAAACGTATATTATTTTTGTTTGGAGAATTGTTACTAGTCTATCTTTTGTTGAATATACAGTTGTCCAGTAATTTCAACAACGCTTCTTTATTGAGGTGAAAGTGGACTAAACCCTCTTGTTTCACCGAAAATCTATTTATTTCTTCTTTTGTTGGCATCTTTAAGTCTCTTTAAAGATAATTACTTTATTATAACCAAGATGCATAAACGATGTATCTTAGAACTTTATTTTGAGGAGCGTATCAAATTTAGTGGGAGTCCACAACGACGCACCGCACATTGCACCGCACTTCGCCTGGTACATCGCCTTTCCTGAGCTAGGTAAATAACCACATGTAAATAAACAGTTGTGGCCATACAGACGCACCGCTCCTCACCTCGAACACGGCACGGTGCCCTAGCGCACTACCTAAAGAATAGAGCTTAGTATTTTTCGACCTTGGAGCATCGCACACCTTGAAAAATGGATAAAGAAAAACTTATTAATTGCGTATTTGTTCGTGAACCGATTTGGAACAAACGTCATAAATCTCATCACAATAGTTTAATTTTATCGAAATTATGGAAGGAAATTGCAGATGAATGTGGACAAACAGGTAAGATAAATTAATATCGGTAAAAGTAGGTGATTGAAGCTAGTATATTTTTGTCTAAACAATCGGATTATTACAAAAGTATGTTTTGAATATTTCTCTTATGTTTTTTGCTTCATTATTGAATCTTCCAGCAAGTATTTGCCGTCGGTTTACAGCCGCAATGTTAATTGTTAGCAGATTATGGTCCACTCCTTCTTTGTCAATAATTTTGTTATGCAAAATACAGATGGCTTTAACAATTTTGTCTGCATTTTGTACACTAGTCAATACTAGTTTATCCAAAATTTGCCACTTTGCTCTTAGAATGCCAAATGCACATTCCACGGTTCTTCTTGTTCGGGATAAACGTTTATTAAACATATCCTTCTCAGGATTTAAATCTTGCCTGCTGTATGTCTTTAATAAATTTTTTAACAAATGATACGCTTCATCGGCGATAATTACAAATGGCGCTACTGCATTTGATCCAGGAAGAGTGCTATTATTTGGCAAGTTAAGGGTACCATTAATAAGTTTTTTATATAGTTGCGATGCTTTAAAAATGTACCTCCATCGCTTTGTTTTCCATATCCTCCAACATCAATATTTATAAATTTATAGTTAGCATCGACCAACGCTTGAAGCACAATGGAAAAATAACCCTTATAATTGAAGAACATAGAACCCGAGTTGCTGGGGCAGCGTATACGAATATGTTTCCCGTCTAGAGCTCCTATGCAGTTGGGAAAGTTCCAAATCTTATTGAATTCATCCGCAACTTTTCTAAAATCGTTCTGTGTTGGAATAGGCATATAAGTTTTATACAAATTATTCCAAAGACAATCTGCAATTTCTGGCACAATTTGGCTTACTGTAGATTTGCCCATACGAAACGAAAAAGCTAAACTCCTAAACGAAATTCCAGTAGAAAAATACCTGCAAAAAAATTCATTATTTACATTTAGTCGAAAAGTTAATTATTTGACGATTGTTACCAGTTAACATTACATATTAACGCTACATATCATTATAATTATTCTTACATAATAAGACATTTAGGTATTTTTTTTCTTACAGTCAGTATTGTGAAATCGCATTGGAAAAGGTTAAGGGAGACGTTTATGAAGAAATTTTCCGAAATACCATATAAACGCTCTGGAGATGGCGCTGAGGAAAATGATTCCGAAAAACTGGACTGGATATATTTCGATTCGCTTTTATTTCTTAAGGACCAAATGATACCAAGAAAAAGTTCGGAAAATTTTCATGAAGGAGAGGAAGAATCTGAACTCACTGAGATGCAGGAAGAATTGATAGAAAGGCATAGTGTCAGTGATGATGAGTCTCGAAGTAATACGATAACTACTCTTTCTCCTCGAAGTACTCCACTTCCCTCGCCATCTGCTCCAGTACCAAAAAAACTAAAAACGAAATGTAGAAACGTTGACTCCATTGGAGAGGGCATGTTAAAAGCTGAGGAAGAAAAAGTAGCTTATTTGAAGCTAAAAAAAGAAATGAGGCAAGCAAAGGAGTTAAAAGAAATAGATGAAGACGAAGCATTTTTTAAATGTATTTTGCCTCATGTTAGATAATTTTTTCGTTTTGAATTAAAGTTTTACAGCTATTAAATAAAGAAATACCTGGAGCCTCTACATCGGAATCAGAGCAGAACTCACTTTCAGAGCCAATTTCTCTTAATTACTCTACTCCGAGTACAAGTACTTCAATGATGCACCAACATAACAGAATGATGACATATTCTACACTCCCAGAAACAAGCCAATATATTGGAGCCTACCAAATGATGGAAAGATCAGACAATAATTAGGACGTATCATCACCATCCGATTGGCTTTTTTGTTACTGTTTCCGATGCACGTCATCAATGCATCTGATAATTGACACTCAAGCCCATAAACCTAACTGTATGAAATTTGGGCGAAAAAAAAATTTTAAAATTTGGCTAATTGCATGTACCAAATAATTCTCTTTTTTACTTTACAACCCACTCATTTGCAGACACTCGGGTATGGCGTACATCGGAAACCGATTGGCGTTAACTATAGTATGAACTTTTTTACTTACCTGATCGTTAACATTAGTCTTTCTTCCACTGATATTGGCTGCAAGTGAAAGTTGTGCCAACTTTTATTTATACCTCCTTCGGCACTGTTCTTGATGTAATCAAATGTGTCAATACTCATTCGCATATACTCAAAGAACCGTTGAGGATCTTTTCTTAAATCTCCATAAAGGTGGTTAAACTCTGCATAGGAATGCCGTTTTTGATTAAGTTCGTGCGTGTGTTCCTTTTGTTTTTCTTTAAGCATGTACCATTTAGGCAAACAAGAACTATACAAAATATCTTCTTCGTCAGAAGAGGTCTCGTCAGATGAAAACAGCAATAAAATATAATACACCCTTGCAGCAACACTGCATGAGAGTTTAAAGCTAAGTGCGAAGCGCTGCACTGTGGACACTTTGCACCATGATACAGGGTGAGGCTCTGTTCTAGGCTATGGGCGGTGCGATGTGTGATGCAATGTGCGGTGCGTTGTTGTGGACATACACTTACACTTGCTGGCTCTTCCCCATAGCTGTATTCACTAAAACAAGACTGCTTTTAGGATTTCTGTATAAAGAAAGATATTTTTCACCGTCACCCAGCAAACATTTTCTATAACATTAGTTATAACTCGACTTTGATAAAGACGAATTTACTTATTGAGGTAATTATTACGTAAAATTGACTAGAAAAATATACCTCTAATGTAAATTTACCGAACGGTTTTAATTTATATTTAAATTTACGTAAATTTTACCAAGATATCTACCTTTTACACAAATCTGCTTAAAAGTAACTTTAATCATATCAGCAAGGGAAAAACTACTAAATTTCCTTTGTAATAAAATTAGGTGCCATATTTAGGTAATATCTACCTGTTTAGCAACTAAAAATCGCCTTTATAGTAGAATATCCAACTAGGTAGATTTGGTTAAAAATTCTACGTAATTTTATGCCTCCATATTAAGCAATTTGGCCGCTTTTTTTATTTACTCTCCTTTAAAGTAATATTAGGTCGAGATCGTAGCAAAATTCTACCTGTTTATCTACCTAATTTTAACCAAATAGTCGAATACTCATTTAGTTGACGTATAAGTCATCTTGAAGAAATATTTATTAACTTTGTTGTAGCAATTACCTGAAAAATCTACCACAAAGTAAATTCGACTAAAAACCACCAATTTAAAAAGAGTCATACATAACCTATTTGTAAAATTTATATTATTTAGGTTATTTTAACAATTAGGTTGTTCAGTTACTGTCTTCGTCATTATTCTTAAGAATTTCGGCCATTTTAAAAAAACCATTACAGTCGCAATCTTAATTTACGTGTGGTGTAGATAGAGCTTTAAATGAGTGCGAAAAATAATTAATAAAATGAGTTCGAAAAATAATAAATCATATCGTTATACTTCCGATTTTTATCGTAAAGTAAAACGTCTAAAATCTCAAGTGCAGGACAACGTGACCTAAATATGTTATATTTACCTATAGGTAAATTTTTTATAAAACCTATAAGTTATTATTTCTTTAAATAGGTAAAGTTAACTGATATGTCGTGAAATTGAAGTTAATTCAACTTAGTAAAAAGGTATTTGTAAAATACGTAGATTTCCTTAGTCATAATAACTTTTAGGTCGAATTCGCACAATACGCCATATTTTCTTAACGTAATTGCAGCACGATTCCAAATTTAAAATTTTTAAAATGACCATAACTAAATCATACGAATGAAAATACCGAAAAACGAAACATTATTGATTTTCTAAAGTGATACACAACAAACGTAACATAGTTTTAGCTCATAATATTATTATTATTTTTTTACACGATCATATTTTTTTCTTATATTTTTTTAATTAGAGAGTATTTTGGAAGGGCATTGTTATTTTTCTAAGTAGAACTGTTAACATGCACGACAAAATTTTCTTCGCATTAATTTCAACAAGCGTGAACTGTATATTCACCGCAATTACATTACATATATTTTTGTCACCGACATTTATTTATTTTCAATCTTTCATGTGAATTAGGTATATGTTTTAGTTGTGTTGGTGACTTCTTACAATATTTCTACTTATATGTAGATAAAAATACCAAATAAGTATAAAATTTCTTTTCGTACACTTGGAGGCATACGTCATCTGCAAATATTTTGGTAGTTTCTACCTAAACTTAGTTAATTCAACGTCGAATTAACGTTATACTGACGTCAAATTTTCCTAGAGAGGTATTACTAACCAAACGTACTGGGCTACTACAATGTGGATTTAGATGTAATTCTACCTATTTTGGTAAATAAAACCAAATTTCGACGTCGTCTTATTCTCCACTTATGTCGAATCCATGTCGAGCCAACGTAAATTTTACTTAATTATGGTTAAATCTAATTTTGCGACCAAATTTATTATATATAATTTAGGTAGTATCGACGTCAAATTACACCAAAATGTTTGCTGGGCTGCTTGTATTTTGTTGTTAGGAGCTAATATACCCAGCTTTTATTTTTATAATAATTATCAGAATGAAATAAAATTTAGATGGGAGATATATCAAAAACTTCTAGTCAAACCGAAAGTGTTAAAATATAACTCCTGGTAAGTTGTATATAGGTTTGTTTAAGTTTTTATTTTAGTTTTCCGTTTTCCTTTTATTATTTATATGATGCCTGTCTTTAAGAGGAAAATTTACATTACAAACTGAAAGACCTGCGGGGCAACGGTAGTTTAGTAGGTATAAAAATTACAACTTTAGGGTGGAGCCTAAATACTACAAAATAACTTCCGAGACTAAATAAAATCCGCATTCATTCATAATTTTAACAATTGCCTGTAGATACGAGGGATACGTATTTCAAGCTCTAACGCGCGAAATTAAGAAAAAAGAACCGAAAACACCTAACACGGCTGCCGAGTGAGTCAGAGTTACCTAAATTAGGGGAACCAGAATCGTATTTGTTTTTCTCGGTGCATTGCGAGATATTGTTATAACGCAGTTCGATTTTTAGAGGGTTTTACATTGTTTTAATATTTTAATTTAGTGAATAGGTTTAGTTAGATTAAATTACATTTAAGAGTATAGAGTTGTGAAATATAAATACAAATAACGAAAAAATAGACGATTGGTTCGAATAAGGTAATATCAATTAATACAGGGTATTTATTAATTGAGTGCCGATACTTAGAGGTGTGAATCCTTTGGGTGTTAAAGTTTTAAGAAAAAAAAAACTATTTTATCATAAGTTTCTTATTACTCTAGATATTTTTATGAAATTTTGTCCAAAAAAAGTGTTTCCACTCATGGTGGGTTCCTACCAAATTTCAACAAAATATCAAAAGCAGTTTTAATATACTGGTTTTTATTTTCTTACCCGAAAAGGGTGCTTTGTACGAAAGTACGTCATGAACCAAATTTGTTCCAAAATAAATAAGGATTTTAAAGATAATTTGGTATTTAGAAAAAGCAGTGGCGCACCATATTTTTGTTCAAAAATATTCAGTTCAAACCCGGTACGGACGTCACTGGTAAAAATTTAAAAGTCTTTTACGACAAAAGGTGAGATTGAAAGTGAAAGTTTAGTCTGTTATATATATACTATATTTATATATCTAACTTTTATTATTACACTGAATGTGATATGGCTTTTTTGTTTGCCTTCTTTGGATCAACAAAATATTATTTTAATGATTTAAAATAAACTGCCAGTAATAATAATTATCTGTACTTAAACATATGCAAAGTGAAATCATAAAACGACGCATCAAGAAAGCACCAAATTATTAAACTTTTTATTTACGTAAGATGTATTAAAAGTAATTTTAAAAAACCGACTTTAAAATCGTGCAGATGCCATCACCACATCTGAACCAAATTTATATGGGACTACCCCTGAGGTACCCCCTTACTAACGAAAAGCATTATAGAAATCGGACAAGGTGGTAAAGAATTATCGCTAAACATACATAAAAAATGAAAAGTTTGAGGATTTTCCCATTGACCCAATTATTAGATTTTGACCAAATTTTTAAGGGACCATCCCGGAAGTACCCCCTTTCCAGCAAAAAAGAATCATTTAAATCGGACATTGTGTTAAAGAATTATCGCTGAACATACTTAAAAAAAATATATACAGACGAATTGAGAACCTCCTCCTTTTTGAAGTAGGTTAAAAAGGATATAATAATCTATATTATTTGTATTAACTAAAAAACTACTATGTGGAGTTATATACATCTTCTTAAATTAATCTTATATGTAAAAATGTGGGTTCGATTCCTAAAAGAGTACCTAGTTCACTGTGCAGCCAAATTTATTTTTATGGTACAGAATTTTTTGAATAAATAAAGTTTTAGGTTTAATTAAACACCAAGTTTTATCAGGAATAACATTTTCTGAAAAAAGTAACATAAAAAGCAGACTTTTTGCGAGCCACTATATATATTTTAGAGGACAATCCATATTATTTTAGAAAAATAAATAAAATTTTTGTACAAACACATAAATGTGATTTATCTTTTAGAATATTTT